ATCTGGAGATCATCCCCATCTCTGAGCTCAGTGGCAACGTCAAAACGCGCGGAACCAAGATCAGCTTTTAATTTAAGGACCGCATTTATGCTAAGATACACCAGCTGAGGGTACGTAACTTATAATGCGATTCTCAAGTGGAATTAGTCAAGAGACAAACGAGTACATCAGCTGCGAGTTTGAGTTTAATCATGTATCGTATTGTAGCGGTTTATCTCTACTGATAAATGATACCGATTAACACGGAGATTCCATAGACGAATAAGCGTTGCTATTTCGGTTTATTTATTAGGCTACGTTTATGTCTGCACTACTGTAAATGGGAGCCTTGTGCACTATCAGGTTCTGCACTATTTCCGAAACGTTATGTCTCCTTTTCCTGTCAGCTGGGAATAAACATTTGCCTGTTCCACGCAGAACAGGGTTCTGAACCAGCAAGATTTTAAAAACACACTGTACCAGAACCATTATATGAGAAGAAACATGGCAAACTCAACTTCGCAACGGAATCTACTCAGCTCGATGTCGGAAGAAGACCAGGTCCATTCTCAAGGACCCCAGTCATCCCAGTCACAAACTGTTTTCCCTCCTACCGTCCGGTAAACCGGTGATTTTGTGATTCTTGTGAGCTCGCAGAAAAGACATTTCATTGCCAGCAACTACTGCTGCACGCTGTATTGTTGTGCATTTGATCAATAAACTTTGATTTGATTTGAATCTTTTGGAAGCAGATAACGATTTTCTAAGACTTTCTAGCGAATCAGTCTTGAGATCAAAGTGCATCCATTTAGCAATTCTCCAGCAAAATACACAAGACCAGATATCCTCATCTTGCATCGGCAAACCTCCCGTGTACTCAACGTGGCATCGAAACGTGGAGGAATACGAGTTAATGGCTGAAAACTAAAAAAAAAAAACAGGGTTGCTTGGGTAATTTTAAACCAACCGGCTAAGAAGTACGTTCATCTAATAGGTAGAAATAGCTGTCATTCAGCGAATTCTGACCAATCAGAAACTTCGAGGAGGATTAAATACTACTACAGGCTTTTTAATTTTTTTGCCGGCCGTGAAGTACAGCTCACAGCTTCTTATCGGTCTGAAAAAAGTACACACCAAAATCATGCAAAAATTGCAATTGCAAAAATAGTCAATTAATTAATTTTGTATAGTTATTGCTTTATTATTTTCGGTTATTGATTTCACATTTTGTGGAAGGAGGAGAAACTCGTTCCAGGTCCTATCTTCATAAAAATGCGTGCACAATTTGTTATGTCTGTTCAATCACTCTCAAATCTTTATCCCAGATAGCAGATATAGTAGAGAAGATCAGGGGAGAGAAACCCGCATCCGAGGTGTGCAACAACTTGAGAAATTGACTTACGAAGAAAGACAATAAAAATGTTTGTTGTTTTTTTTTCTGGATGTTATTTTCTAATGTGTAAAGTGTACTGAGTGAGACATAAAACATTTG